GTCACCTTTTATTTGGACGCTACGCCGTCCTTCAAACATTACCGTAACCATTCCGTTCCGAACCGGTCTCCGCTACCGTACCACCATCATCCCCTACGCAACAGTCTCGCACTATTCGCAGCTGTGTGTCGATGTGTTTCCCGACTAGAGGTGCTCCCACCATGAGACAATCGGTCGCCATGCGCTCGACGCTCGATGAGCGCCTGTTGCGTTGTGTGATTTTTACAAGACGTCGCCCATCAGCTGTACGCTCAACTCTAGATCCCAGCTCGCAATCCAGATGATCCGCAAGATTTTCGCGAGATTTATGACAGAGTAGCTGGAGCATCTCCCATGATCGAATTATGTCTCGCAGCAATCGTATCTTATGGTTTAAAATGAGAAGATCTTTTTATGACTGAAATTGTGTGTAGAATTGAGGATAGAGCCTAGTACTCTTACAACAAAGTAATGTGACTAAATGAGCTTTTTTCTTCTTTCTGCACTTGAAGTCCTTTCTGAGACAGCTGACTCCAAACTACATGTGGGAATTTGATTACGTGTTTGAGAATTTTTATCGCGATTGCGTTTGATATGCCATATCGTTTTTTTTTTTGATTTTGTTCTCCTTATAATATTTACTTTCTTATTTATAATCTTGAAATCATTCAAAGATGAGCTCACATGCAAAAAATTCCAGTTTTTGTTCCTGTTCATTTTTTTCTGCTTGTTTTTTCTTCTGCGAAATCAATTTATGGTGTTTAAGTTCAATTGAGCTCAAAACACATGAATTGATACCAGCTTGAAGGAGCCAGTCTACTACTACAAAGTGAACAGAACTCAAACAGCAAGATCATTGGTACCAATAATGTAAAACAATAAAAGATGGTCAGTGAAGCTTATTCGCAGGTCCTGTTTAGAGAACCTTCAGTGCTTTATTGCTGGAGAATAAAAAAAGACGGAAAGATACGTTGATGATTACTAAAAGAAACACTAGATCCCTACTTGTCAGCGCATATGAGCTGAATTTATAGGCATGTTGGTGTGTGGACGCAACTATCATAGCATTAACTAGAAACGACTAAGTATCTTATATCAGAACGCGAATATCCCTCTTAGATCTTATGAGCTAGTTTTCCTCCTACTTAGCTTCCTTGTGTCGTATTATCTGTTTATCTCTTTGATTTTGAGAAAGAATTAAATCTGGCGGGTGCCACTAGTGAGAAAATCTACTCGAAGTCATTAAATGGTTAGCTAGATTTAATTGAACGTTTATTGGAATGGCAGTACGTGTACTTGTTAGAAGGAAGGTTTTTATTTAGCATACAGCATGGCTATTTTCTAAAGCAGTTGATCACTGAGCCGTAAGCTTTGCTTAACTTCATCTCATCTTTACTGTGGATCAAAATCATATGAACCACGGCTTTATAACGGTGTGGGAAACATAACTTTTTAAGAGGGAATGGTTGAGCGGGAGGATGGAATAGAGGACAAAAAACAAAATTTTCAAATTAAAGCTTAGCACGGTCAAGACGACTGGTATAATGTAAAAAAAGAAACAAAATGAAGTAAAATTTCCTTCACCGCTTTCAAGCACTTA